CTAAAATTTCTTTGTTTTTTTTCTTTAAAACAAATATATTGTATTTTACATTATACTCGATATATTTAAATATGATTTAATTTATATTATTACTATACGAACACACACAGAACAATCAAATATTTTTTATTGTAAAATAGAATTATTAAATAAAATAATATAATAAATATTAATTAAAGACGTTGTAAGATTTTTTTGTCCTTTTTTTTTAAACAGGATGATGATTACAACACGATACGAAACGAAATGAAACAAAACAGAAAACATTTGATTCGTATGGTGTCCGGTTATTGGAACACCATTACCATCGACACACACACACACACAGATGATCTGGAAATTCGAACTTATTTTTAAAAGGGACGGATCCGTAGGTGTCTCAATCCTTTTCATACCATCGAACTGGTAGTGCATGACCGTCTCGTGTGACCTCGGTGAACCGAAACTGGTATCATCGATTCACAAACATATTCTCTATTTGATATCTTAACCATCTGTGTTTAAAGTATAATAATATTAAACATTTTTTACAACCCCCATACAGAAAATATATTTCCAATAACAAATTTTATATTAAAAATGATTAAAAACCATAGTAAATACTTTAAATAACACTTGTCTCCTAACAATTACAATTTTATCTCAACGAAAAACGAAAACAATAATTACTTTTTTTTTTTTAACCCTTTTGTGAATAAATTTTGCATATAAAATTGCAATAATTGTTGGAGAAAGAAAAGAATTTCGAGTCAAAGGTAGAAAAAAAAATGATGAGCATATATATACGTGCTTAATTTACACGGATGGTTTTAATTGGGCGCATATATGCGCCTATAATATTCAAAGGGTTTAAAAAACAAGTTAATGATTTTGTTTTTCGAGAATCGTATCATTTTTTAATATATTGATATATTTAATTAATAATTTTTATTATTGGATTATATTATTAATTTTTTAATTTTATATATATATTATTGTGTGATTTAAATTATTGTATAATTGTATGAAATAATATAATTAATCGTTGTCGATATTTTTGTTGATAATAGTTTACGTAGTTGTTGTTTAATATTACATGTCATTTATTTATTACGTCAATTTGTGGTAGAGAAACTTATGATACGTATTGCGTCCAAACGAAATAAGCGTTTGCTTGGTACAACCGAGCACACAATTCTGACGTTAGAGATAACGTGGGAAGCGTCCTTCGTGTATAACGGCCTTCCTGAATTGCGTGAGAGAAGAGAATTAAAGTTCTCGTTATAATATGCGAACTCGTTCTTTATATATACTATATTTATATATATATTATTATTATTATTATTTATTTATTTATTATGTTCACAGTGAAATTTAATAATGAACAATCAATTATTATCGACTTTCATCTAATTTACTTGCTTTTTTTTTTTCCTTTTTCTAATTGATATACCTCTCGCGAATCGCGGTTAATTAATTTGTTGTTTATAATTATATATTTTAATGTGTGTGCCATATTTTTTAATTATAAACAGAAATAATAATAATAATACAAAAATATATCAAAATCCTCGAAGTAAAGAAACAATAATTATTGGTAAGAAAAAAAAGAGAGGATAAGAAAAATGATATATAGAAATAAATAAATGTTTCATTTTTATAATAACAATTTTACGTTTACATATTTGATATACGTTTCGTTTATTAGACAGTTTAAATTTATTTATAATAATATTTTTCTATCTAACGTGTTATTTCATTCAATTAGATGAATTTAATTGATATATTAATATCAATGATACAATCTATCTAATGGGACAACCATTCATCATATATCATTGATGGGATTCAAATCAAACATATGGATAGCGACAAAAAATATTTTATTTTATAT